ACGCAAGCGCATTTTGCTAACTGCGAAGTCAAAGTATAGGTATATGTAACCGTCAACGGTTAAGTTGAGGGGTATCTTAGCTGGCTAGGCCAGCAATGCACCTTGGCAGGTTTTCCTTTTTGGGGGGGGGAGGGGGGTTCAAATTTTTTTTTTTCCAAAAAATAAAAAATTAAAATAAATAAAATAAAAAAAGCTTCTGCTCTGTCGCCCATGGAAATTGGTGGGAAATTTAGTAAAGAAGACTCGCTTTCCCATTGACACGCTTGGCCATTTTGACTTTTGCGCCGTTGATTTGCTAAGTCGGCACCACTTTGTCGTGGACTTGCGCTGGCGTCGGTCCAAAGACGCAAAGCGCACACAATTCGAGGAGTACATGTGCTCCGACGGGTCCCGCCAACGACAAGTCCGGGAGTGAAGATCTGTTCTAGAATCTCTGCATGTGGGTTCCGAAATCCGGGGCTCGGTTTCTTTTTGCGCGGATGATGCCGTTGTTACTCAATACTTTTTAAGAACCATACACGTCTCAGCATATATGCATGCTTTCGCTACGCGGCGACGAGGCATTTGATATATGGCTTGTTGCAATCAGTACATGCTTCCAAGCGGTGAGTGGCAGTTTGCGAGAATCCAATAATAAGCAGACAGGTTCTGCATGGAGATTCTGTCAAGTGCTTGAGCCAATTGCGCAGCCGGCGACGTGGCGCTGCTATAAGAACCGAGAAACACGTCCAGAGTGGACTTATACATAGTCTCAACGTGGCAATGGGGCTGTGGATACGAACAATGGCCGAACCATGCAGCTTAGAAGCGGGAAAAAAACGAAGTGGTCGCTTGGAGGGATACTGGCACTGACGCAAGTTTTTGAGTGAATAAACGTCGAAGGACACCAGGCCGGACTAGTGGGCGTTGGATAGAGTAAGCTTCCTCCTTGGAACGAAAGAAAGAATTCGGATGTATGTTCGTCATTTTTGTCGTGATTGTGTAGCCAGAATACGTGAGATGTGTTATTGCTGACGTCAGGTAAATTGTTATACCGCGAACTCGAGGTCAAGAATAATGAGGGGGCTCGTGGTATGTTTTCAGTCGTTGTTCGTCCAGTACAATCAATAGTCATGATTACAAGATGACGTTTATATTCGCTAACTCTGGGATCGATATACCTCGTAGGATGAGTAACTGAAGAAGTATTGACAAGTAGATCTACTATTTCAGAGACAGAGGTCTGTACCAACATTTCACTAAAAGTATTTGTGGATTATTGGGAATTGATTCTATGGTTATCAATGCATGGATATGGGCCAAGGGGGTCTATGAGCACCTCTTCTGATGTAAGCCAAACAACTTGTATCAACCATCTTGTTGTTGGCACGAACATACTACGTGGATCGCGGCAAGTGTGATGCTATCATGTATGGAAGAAATGAATGAGTTGCGATGGCCACAAACTTTAATACAGTGCAGGCCAAAAATAAAGACAGAAAGATCACTGGCTTGCACAAGCCATACTCCCCAAGAAAATTTTGATACAAGTTTAAGAGGTTTTTTCACTTATTGTACTAAATTCAATAATGTATTTCAGCTTCGGCTCGAAGGGCTCAGGATTCGCATTGCGATATGAGCCTCATGTTAAAGTATGTGTTAACCGAGTTAGTCCGTTTTAACTCAAGCTCTTATGTCTGTTGAGCAGGAATTCGTAGCTTGTTAGCGAGGGAAGATATACCTAGTTGTCAAATATTAAAACCTCGATTCAAAGGAAAGGCACCGGTACAGGTACTACCAGTGATGTTGTAAGACACAAGCCGCCTACAATGTATCAATTTATCCCCTTACAAGACTCATGCTGGCTAACTTCGCGTAGCAACAACATACTATACGAACTATGCTAGCAAAATACCTGAGATACCCCATATCCGTATCCTGATGAACCAGATCTTATGCCAATGAGTCTCCAAGGAACGTGAGACTTTGAAGGCATCATTCATGACGATGATACAGAGCATGAACTTTGAGAAGAAAAGAACTGCAATCATTTTGATGCAGAAGCTTATGAAGGTTCTTAATATGTATCCTCTTCAACGCTTATCAAGGCTCTCTTGAAAGGCTCCAGAGCGCCCTTCACATTCACTTCGAACTGTAGATCAATAACTTCTTTGCGGCACTTTGACCTCCTCAATATTTGCAGCATTCGAATACCTCATCACCCGACATACGTCGGACCCTCTTTTCCACCTACTCTTGTGACACCCAGCTGCTGCCGTGTACATTGCTAAGAGTACACGCTTTGCGTATGTTCATGTCTGAAGACGAGATGAACAGTTACTAAGCCCAGCCAGTGAACATGTGTCAAGGATTTAAAAACAACATCACGATCCCTATATGAATACCAAAACGAGGAATCGCAGTGACAAGCATGGTTGTCGATCCGGCGTCCGAGTTAATCGCTTACGTATATGTATAGTTGGGTAACTCGTTTCGTTAGGCAGGTCGGATTCATGTAAAGAAAAAGAAATTACAGCTAAGCCATGGCAACAACGGAGAGAGAAACGATACAAGTTAAAGCAATGTTCCGTGGCCGAGATCCTAGGGTTATAATGAAGTGTACTACACAAGGAGTCGATAATCCCAAAATACCGACTTCGACTGGTGCACCGTTGGCCGAATCAGCAGTAGTCGTTGACCACAATTGTGATGAGCAGATATCCTGCCAAAGTAACGACGCCAATATAAACGAGACTAGATCGTAGCCTATTAAAAGGAAGAGACGGGGACGGACTGTGTTGTGGCCAGACATGAAGATTCAATGTGTACAAGACGGTAAACAAAGCCCGCTCCAAACCCCGTCGCCATTGATTGACGAAGTCCAGTGTCGAAGTAGGTACGACTGTTCCGGCTTTTGGTAAACCAACGACGTTGGTATGCTACTTGTTAATATCGTGTGTAGTGATGATTTCGAATGGCAGAATGCTGTCATCCGTAAAGGACCTGTTGGCCCGCCATGATTTGAGAATGCAAATCTTTCATCCAGGATTCTCTCTAATGTTTGATTGCCGTGAAAATGTAGCTCCAGCGAAAGAGCCCCGACCGCTCAAAATCTGGATCATTCTTCTGTTAGTTGTGAACCTCAAGGAAGGGATGTGTCGCCCTCACATGTAGGCTGAGGATGCTCCAGGGAGTAATATAGATGACTCATACTTGATTGGGAGGCCACAAGAAGTTGTATGGCCACTCTGTATACAAAGACATAAGCAGTTACTATCAAGTGGGTTGAGCAAACCACACTGCCTTTTCTAATCATAGGGTACACGTCTTCCACGCGCGCTTCTTCGAGTCCCAGTTGCTAGAGAAGGCCTCCGAAGCTTCAATGAAGATCTGGGATCTCGTTTGATGTAGGTATCAATATTCACACCAAATTCAGGATTCAGAACCCTATCACAAATGCATTGCAGACGCATCATGCCGAGTTAGACTTTCCAATATTCAAGCTACCGAGACATCAGCTGATGAACCCAAATCAAAGTGAAAACTTGACACCAAGTAAACTTGCATTTCAACACCATCGACGTCCTTCCATGACACCATGTTGGTATACCTTACTTGTGGCCAAAGAGTCGTGCACGACTATCGCATGGTTCTAACCCATCTATCACTATACAAACCACGGTATTCTGACACGCTGGGCCTCCTTTATTCCAGAACGTTATATTTCGTATTTTGATGATATTTCTGACGTGCTACATAAGTCCACACGTTGTCCTAGCCCAGAGTACCTTGTTTTTATTATAGCATATGGCATTGACCATAAGCTCTGTTTGTAGATCGTACATACTTGGTCATAGGTCATTAAGCGTTTTCGCTGGTGATGGCGATATATTGGAAATCAGTTAAAAGCACGAGTGAAGAATGCAAGAATCTAACCCACATTTCATGCGCGGAAATTTATTGTACATGCCCACCTCTCGATACTTCCTTTACACAGCTTTTTCGAAGAGCACCGAGTACCGGACAGCCGAGTGATAAAATACTCCGTTGAGCTAGTTGTACTTTTGCTGTATTCTATTGTGCTGTTTACAGTTACATGTTGCCCATTCCGACCAACAGTAGTTGTCAATATAAATCAATACAGAACACAACCATCTAAAGACCGAGTGCTAGGACTGTATGTTGGCACTAGTATTGTGAATCAGCTTCCAGATTGCGTGCGATTACAGGACGATATTCGCTGGAGGTATACTTCTTTCAACCGTAACACAGAACCCCAGCATCATTGCTCGTCACGGTATATGGATTGGCAAAATTTTGTGGCGGAGCGATTTCAGCAAAATATAAGGAAACGGATTTCCCAATTTTTGCCCAAACAAATTCCCGAACATCACATAACCATGATTACTTATGGGCAAAAGAGTTGACATGCCAGACATATGGTTGTGATTTGAACAGTGTTTTACTCAAGAGTGCGGCAGCCAGATTCAACTCAGTCCTCACGGTTATACATAGAGCAGGTAGATTAGTGGACATCAGTCTGCCTAGATGCGCTGATTACCCTAACCTAGTAGTTAAGCCAACCAACGGTACACAAACCAGGAAATCTACCCGGGGCAGATGCAAGTCTCCCTTGTTGGAGAGCTGACCTGGATAAGAACGACATCTTGACCAATATCGCGGATGCGAGAACGAAACTTAGGCTTCCCGTCGTATCCAAGTGCATAAGCACACGACTTAGAGGACCTCCCGACGGTTAGCGCTACTATGCACTGCGCGGGTCTCCCTCACAGCGCAATGCCTCCTGCAAGCTTTAGTGCTAGACGCCACTGCGGCACGCGTCTTGCAGCTGGAACCGCGTAAATTAATTGTTATCTACGGGCTTGATTGTTCCCCAATGTGGAATACAGCACCCCCAGCTTTAACTTTAAATGACATCAACCCATGCGATACGTCTCTCGATCTTGCGACCCTATCGCTTAGGAATAGCGAACAGATCCTCAATCGTGTACATCGCGACAATGGCGTCAAACAAACGCAAGACAGACGCGCCTATATCCCCTCCACCGGTAAAACGAAAGGCCCAGAGCTCCATCTCGAACAGTGCCGTGTCCAGTTTCTTCACGCCGGCTTCACAGAAACCCAAGGAACGCACCACGTGGTCCGAGAGGGCACCAGATGACGACGACACACCGGCAACACTGCTCGTCGGTCGCTACGAGCCCGAGAAGGCAGACGAGTCGGATCAAAAGAGGAAGAGGAGGAAAGTCGCGGCGTTTGATCTGGTATGTCCATGATCTGGTAGCTTTAGCCCCCCACGCAACGCAAACGGACGCTGACATTGGTCTCAGGACTCCACCCTGATCACGACGTCTTCGGGGAAGAGACACGGAGACGACCCGTCGGATTGGAAGTGGTGGGACTCCTCCGTGCCCTCCAAGCTGCGACAGCTCTACGGGGACGGCCACCGGGTCGTTATACTCAGCAACCAAGCCGGACTGACGCTACATCCGGACCCCAAGGCAAAGGGGCCGAAGAACCTGGGCAAGGACAGGGTCGCCAAGTTCAAGCAGAAGTGCAACGCGGTGCTCGCCCAGCTCGACTTGCCCACGACGGTGTACGCAGCCACAGCGAAAGATATCTATCGCAAACCGAGGACAGGAATGTGGAAGGAGGTTTGTCGGGACTACGACCTCGCAGAGGACGAAATCGACCTAGAGAACAGTGTGTTTGTCGGCGACGCCGGTGGTCGGACTGCAGTGCTGAAGGGAGGCGCCGTCGCCAAGGACTTCAGCTGTTCGGATCGCAACCTCGCGCACAACCTGGGTCTGTCATTCAAAACCCCAGAGGAGTTCTTTCTCGATCGGGAGCCACGTGAGTTCCAGAGAGACTTCGACCTGGCCAAGCACCAGTACGAGGAAGAGGACGACGATCTTATGTTTGAGAAGAAGAACAAGCAGGACATGGTTCTTTACGTCGGCCCACCAGGCGCAGGGAAGAGCACTTTCTTCTGGAGGCATCTAAAACCGCTGGGTTACGAGCGTATCAACCAAGACACTCTCAAATCGCGCGCCAAATGCTTCAAGGCCGCCGCGGACGCGTTGTCCGAAGGAGAGTCCGTGGCCGTCGACAACACGAACCCCGACGCCGACGGGCGTGCTGAGTGGGTGGCTCTGGCGAAGAAGCACAATGTCCCGATCCGCTGCGTCTGGTTCAAGACGCCGATCGAGCTCTGTGAGCACAACGACGTCGTGCGTGCGTTAAACAAGCCGATGAACCCTGAAGCTCGAAAAGCACTACCCAAACTTGCGTTCAATGGATTTGCGTCGAGGTTCAGGGAGCCCAAGGTCAAGGAAGGCTTCCAGGATGTTGTCGAGGTGGAGTTCAAGTTCAGGGGTACGAAAGAAGAGTATGATATCTGGGGTCGGTACTGGACCTAGGCAAGCGTTAGACTCAATATGATATGCTAGTCACAGACGAGCAAAGCGCAGTGGTTGAGCTTTTTCGGTGACAGGGTGGCTGTCAACCGGAGGCTAGGGCGTCCCAAGTGCCATGATTTCAGGGAGTTTCTGGGAAGAAATGCTCCTGGCTGTGCTCAATTTGTCGCTGTTTCTTGAGCACATGCAGATCGGGTGTCCTATGCGATGACTACGGAAGCCCATATATGTGGAAGCAAAGTAGATAGCTAATGTCCATACAGGATTCATGTATTCAATTTGTGTGGACCGTGAGTTGGTCCCATAAGATGAATGTGAATGTGAAAGTTTAGCTCTTCTTCGACGACGCCTGCCTTATCTACATGCTGGGCTCCTAAATATGTTACGGGCAAGGGGGAAAGGTATAACCTGTTCGGCTCCGGCAGACATGCTGTCATGTGAAATCAATCAACGCCGTATAAGCGCCTGCAGGCACGCAGACAATACATGAGCCCGCTTTTCCATATCCGGGGCGCGATGCATACCACTCTGCTATCAAATATTATCCTGTGAATTAATGTTCACCCTTCGTCAATTTCCCCCCAGCTGTCCCGTTTTCTTTCGGCCCAGTCCGGCACGGCATCCCCGAGAGCATAGCAACGTTACTTCAGCGGCTCAGTCATGATATCATGGTCATGATCATGGCTGTCGCGCTGCTTAGACTCCAAGCGCCGCCATGACGGAATGGCCTCAACCGAACAAAGCAGCTCCGCCGCTCTCGACAGCCTCAATCTCGAGCAGGTCAATGGGCGCCCGCCTGAACCTAGCAGGAAGCTCGTCGCGATCAAAGAATTGTCCCTTGGGGGCCTCGACGGGGCCGAGCTTGCGGCCCGAGGTGCCTCCAATGAAGCCGACGCTCTTGCGCAGCGGGCCGTGCTGCTGTGCCGAGTCGCGGTAGCTGCTGAAGGAGCTGTGGGAGTTGCCGCTGGCATTCTTGCCGAAACCCTCAGGCAGGGAGCCGGTTGGGGAGGCTGGGTGTGGTTGTGGGCTGTGGTCCAGCTTGGCTGCGAGACAGAGAGAGGGTAGAGTCAGTCTTTGCTGGTGAAGCGGACTGGAAACCGCGCAATGGTGAACCCGAGCAGGAGGGATGCTTACAAGGAATCTCGTGGCGCTTGCCGACAAATCTGATCAGAGGCACACGCTCGGCGGCGTGTGCTGCTTGGCGCAGAGCTCGTGTTGCAAGCATTGTGGTGTGTTGGTGAGTTTTGAAGTGAAGACGGAGCGTGTCTGGGTGGTGACGGAGGTGATGTGTAATGCTACGGCCTCTTGGAGGTCACGATAGCAAGGAAAGTTTTGGTGGAGATAAGGTCTCCAGGTAGAGTACGGATCCGTAGTGTTCGGGTGTTCGCGGCGAATGAATGAATCGAGGCTCGAAGCTCGGACTCTTGGGTTATTGCGTAAGAACCAAACTACCTAGCGGGGTTTGATTCGGCGATGTTATAACTATAACCAGGTGCAACGATGTTCCTGTCTTGTCCTGTGCTGTCTCGTCTCGGGTGTAGTTGTACGGTAGGTGACGTAGAATGGTTCGCGATTTAAAAGTGAATGTGTCGCTCGGGTCGGTTCGGCAGAGAGGTCAAGTAAAAGGAATTGGTCAGTCGGGCAGGGGGGAAGAGACAAATTATTTAAAATATGCCTGCCTCGGGGGTTGGTGGCTTTCTTCTCCCCCAAGAAAATCTCAAAAAAATCGTACCAGTTCAACTTTGTGTGCGGGGTGCGCCGTCGGGTTTTGGGATGAGATTGGCGCTTCTCCTGCCTTCCTGTAGGCCTTGCAGGCTTGTACTTCTCACTTGTCACTTAGGCTGCAGGCCCCCCGGGCTGCACGCTGCACGCTACAGGCTGCAAGTCTTCCCTACCCGCGGAGCTATCGCGCGTTTGGACGCTGGGCGCTGCGATGTTCGGACTTTTGATGGGGTTTGCACCTTGTGCTTCAGACGCCCTTGTCTCAGTGGCCTGATTTTTACAGACTGATATTATTATGTGAAACTCCAGTCCTGGGCTGGTCACCGTTCGGGTACAATGGTATATAACCATTCAGAATACTATTTCCTGGTTTCGAGTCGCAAAGGCACGCTCGGGATTTCTCGGAAAGCTTGAGCGACTTTTGCGTGTGAAGACATACAATTAGTAATTCATCTACCCGCTTGGTCTTGGCCTGAGTGTCACTACCATCTCGTTCATGCCAGCAGAGGCACAATCTGATAAGGCATGTATAAAGCTCAAAAAAGCACCTCCTTAGTCTAAGTCTAGGCAAGAAACTGGAACTGTGTTCGTTGGCAACCTTATTCGGGGTCCGAGACGGGACTGCAGGTCGGAGGAGCTCCATCCAAGCCCCAACACCGACACCGGGAGGAGTCTGGGGAGAGAGAGCGAACATGTGGGGGATCTCACAAAATCACGTCAACTCCTCCATTCCATGCTACTTTCTAACTCCATCATGTCCTGCGGTTACCGGTGCAGCTTTGAAATCCAAACCCCAAGTGACATGATACAGCGGTAGAACTTGAAGTTCGGCATGGAAGGCTTCACCGAAACTGAATTTATCATTGGCTTGGAAGGTTCGGCATGCAGCTGTCGAGCGAACCTGAGCCCAGATCAGGCCATCCCCACGTATCATCAGGGACGCGGGGGAAGCAATGCTGTCCCGAGTGAATCCTTCGCTTAACTTACACCCTCCCTGAAGCCATGTCCACATAAAGATTGCGACACTGGAGAATGTCTCCGGATCATGTTGGTTCGGATTCCATACATCAATTGGGCTTCTTTCTCACCTGGCATATGTGCAGTAGGACTTGATGTTCGCCAATCACAGCAACTATTCGCTATGCGAATCCCAACTAGCACTGCAAGGTTCGTCCGTTGGAATGCCACGGCAGTATCGGAGTCGTGGCCTAGTCTTCAACCTAACGTGGTGCATTTACATATGTAGTATGCCAGACTGGCATGGAAGCCCCGAGCTGATCCCCAGTCGAACATTTCGGGCATCTCTCGCCAATGGTTGTGGATCATCCGGCTCTGTCCTCTATGCGAGATCGGCTTCCAGTTCCCGAAGGCGTGCTTTAACTTAGGTAGGAATACACATGCGCATGACAGTACCACACACCCACACTACAGAACTTCGTTTGACATAGCACTGGCAAAACCAGTAGCGATTCACGACTCATGACCACAAGCTCTAGATTCGACAGTTTGCCCAAGTAGGAAATCAAGCGTGAAACGATTGGCTATGGCTAGGGCGACGTAGTGGCTGCATTCCACGCCGTCACTGTTTTGTCGGCACTCACTCATGCAGTGCCGCCGCTCGACGGAACACCCAAAGAATGACGACTAGGAGAAAAGGAAACGTATTCCCAAGTAGACATGTTCCACCTCCCCCATTTTTGCTCCTCAGTTTAGACCGAACCATGCTATATCAAGCTGGGCGTGAACTGGTACGGTGTGTCCTACGCCTTGAGCTGAAAAACCAACCAGCTTCGTCCCATCTCCATAGGTTATCTTGGTGTACCCGCTCTGTGGCGTGTTCGTCTCATTCTTCGTGAACGTGACATTGAGCAGCGAGGACCATTCTTTCAGCTGCTCTGCCAAGTTGGCATAGAACACCAGGTTATCCGCCGTGCCGTGGAACGTCTGCATGCGTGGGTACGTTCCGTTATAACCAGCATACATTGCGTGGACCTGGGTAGACCAGCTTGCTCCAGACTTGTTCACTTTGCCGTTGGCGCATGTCCGGTCCGACGAGATGGGACTGCTGCCGGGAGACCCCGCAAAACACCCAGCTGCGACGCCGGAATAGCATGACCCAGCTGCGAACACGTCGGGATAGACGGCGAGGAGAACATTGGTCATCATACACCCCGACGAGGTGCCCGTCGCATATACCTTGGTCGGATCGGCGTTGTACGTCTTGATGAGATATGCAACCATGTTTGCCAGCCCCTGGCTGTCGCCGCCGCCATTGTGAGAGAGTGATTTGGAGGAAGAGACGTCCCAGCAGTTGCTATCGTTGCGCGCCGAAGGATAGACCACGATGAAGCCCTTGGCGTCTGCATATGAATCATAGTTGGCTTGTTGGTAGTATTGGGCGCCGCTCCCTGAACAGCCGTGGAGCTAGATGATGTGTCAGACGCACTTGGCAAGATGCTCTATGTTGTTCTATTTACTCACTGCGACTATTACTGCTGGCTTCGCTGCCAGTGTTTTTGGCAAGTAGATCTGCATCTCCAGGTTTGTTGGATTCGAGCCCCAGTTCGTCACCGTCGTGAGCGCGGCATTGATCACCATGGGGAGGAACATTGCAGCTAGGCTGCTCAAGGAGAAGAAGGACTTCATGTCGTTTGGTTTGTTTGATCTTGTCGTATACTGTTTACGGTAGACCTCGAGCGTTCATGGGTTTCCAGCGTCGAGCAATTTTTCACAGCTTTTACATACTTTTACCTTAGGCATGTGAACGGTTATATTGAAATGCCGTTGCTCCATGCCGGCCTCGGGACAGGCTTCGCATTGTAACATACCCCAATTTCATTTTGGTTGCGCGGCGTATGGTTCCGACGGTAGGTCTGCCAGGAACGGGAGGTTAATTAAGGATTTTGCGGGGGTTGTTATCATGAATTCCGCTATATTGTTGACTTGAGACTCTTATCAAAGCAACGCAATGGTTTCGAATAAAGTTTCCAATATAGGCGCACAAATTGGTGGTATAACCATTTTACGTAAGCCTCATACATAACAATGAATTTACGTTGACTGCACCACACTACTCTTGTGGTTGATAAAAAAGGTTTAGCCATCTTGTAGTATAGCCACCCATTGTAATCCATAAATTTTTATTCTCGATATAGAATATTCCACCCCTTGCCAAGTGTTCAAGTCCAAGTCATCGTGCATCTCTGCTTTGAGCCTAATGGCGAAGTCCCACCGTCTGGATGGAAAAAATGAAATATTTCTTGGCCGGCAATAAGTGTGATGGACATGTCCAACTTGATGTACCAATCCAGCTTGGGTCCCTACCTCGGTCGGCTGCGAGTCACGGCACTTCATGTCCCTTAAACTAACATGATCCAGGGGCATGTGGCCGTTCTTAGATTTTAGTCCCTAGTGGTCTGTATACACCTCCAAGATCTCGAGACGTGTGCTGATCCAGCCCAATCAACGGGTTTCTTGTGCAAGTTTCTGTATGAGGCTATCATCGAGCAGGCAATTGGGCGGAATCCTGATATGCGTGACATGCAAGAGCTTCTCAGCTCCAACTAGCGGTGCTAGTTATGTAGCACCAAGATTTCTGACCGTTTTGAGGGTCTTCGTACCCGTGACTTCTGCTTGAGTAAAAAACTCATGCGTCGAAGGCAACAACCCAACGGGCCTCGAATTATGTAAGGTATAATCCTGCCTGTATAGATAGACAATATCATTCTCTGAGATTAACTAGTTTCGAAAGACTATTCTGCTCGTGTGGCCACCTGGGAAGTGCTGAATGCCGAATATCTTTCTGCGGATGCGAGAGAGTGAGATAGAAACCCTGTGTTTACAACTAAGGGACCTTCTCGGTTAACTAAGAACAGTGGAGACACCTGGCGATACAGTATGCCGCCGATGGGTGATTTGATAAGGTGGATCTTGAGCCCATTGCCTTCCTGCGGTCGAGAAGATGATACTTCAACAAATGGAAGATGGTGATCAGCCGGGGCTCTCGTACTACTTTATGCCGATCGTCATCCGACGCTCTGACGGCAGTAATGGGATTACTGCAAACCCGATTGTAGAAGAGTGCGGGACCAAGGCTTGTAAGAACCAATATACACAAAGAAAACGGTGATAGTCCTCTTCATATAGTAGTGCACAGTGTTGCGGGCCATGCTTGACAGGGCATCAAGCGCCTGTCTTGTTGCCATATTTTTTGTTCCTCAGTCCACGAAATTTTGGCACAGAAATTGGCCGCTATGGAGCAACAGTGAAGCGATCTGAAGTTGTCTGAAGAATATGGATGGCTGGTGGTAAATAGCATAGGAAACAAATGTCAGCCATAGGGCATGGTGGTTATAGACTCTCCCAACTGTAATCCTACCATGTCGAACTATAGTTCGAGCACTATTGAGATTACTAAGGACCCCTTGCTAGGAACATGGGCCAAGTGCCGTACTTCTTGCTTCATCTGCACACTCAGCTGTGCATTCTCAGGTTGAAGGATAGAAGGAGCACCTTCGAGCCTTCATGATTCGAGCCTGGCAATTTGAACAAATTCGAGTACTGAGTTTACGTTATCTGGGAAAGCTAATTCCACCGTGATGTAACACTTCCTGGAAACCCTCTCTCAAAAGTTCGACAACCCTTGCAGGAAAAAAAAAAAAAAAAAAAAAAGGGTCATTATAGGCAGCTTCTCACGTGTTTGCACCAATGAAATAATCAGCAATATGTCACATCTACATAGAATAATGGCTTTCAGCCCAGTACTAAATGTGTCTAGAAGCTCTTTGTGATAATTTTCCTTGGAGATACAGGGATTCTGTTAGTGGAACTCCTCAATTGAGCCTTCCTTGGTCATAGTTGCTGCCAATAAAGCTCAGTTATTGCAGATTGTTATGCCATGATGACACTGAAAAGCTTGGCAATCCAAACCTAAGAATGGCCTTCGAAGAACGGGTTCTTGGCTGCTAGCAACACCTCGCGATATGAATCAATATTTTTCTGAATTGTATTTGGTGGACCTCATGGCCCTAGCTGAGGGTACTCATAGCACCCCTATTCCCAACGTTACAGTGGCACCTGGAGATAAGATAGTCTCTGCAGTCGGGTTACGTTCTGTCAATGGGATAAAGGATTGCATAATGTTCTTCTGCTAAGTGTTAGCTACACGATGTACCCTGATCACACACTCCTTGATCCGGACAAGTCAAGGACGTACTTGTCACTTCCGGGCAAACGCACCAAGGCATATTGCTCAACCGGTGTCGACCCCATTCCATACGCTAAGCCTGAGGTTGAGGCGGTATTCTCGTTCATGACAAGCTTGCAGTATGTAACCTGGCGTCTATCAGGGTTTCATCTCGTTAGTGAGTCGGCCGCTGCGCTGAACAAGATGACCCTAGACAGTACATCAAGGCTGGCTAGACCGAGTACCACCGGTATTGGACAGACGCCCTGGTATTGGAGGCTTTAACTACGGTGGGCAGCTTACATTGCCCGTCTTCGCCTTCTGTAACCCCGCTGGTGGCATCAACGGTATCGAGCTCACTTTCAACGGTCTTGAAATCTCCAAATCTGACGGGCAAATCCCTTACACCAAGCTCGATGATAGCTGGTGCGATTACTGTCGCGCAAGGCAGAGCGATCTCTACATTGACGACGAAATCTTCTCAAAAAATGGCCCTGATGCTAATGTGGCGAACTTGAGAGCGCCTTGTTCAACGGAATAGGTCCTTCCAGAGACATGCCGTCAATCAACAATAACCAACTATCCAAACGATAACAAGGCAGTTTCAGAAAAACTCCAGGGTTGGTTTGAGTAAAGTTCACAAAGTGCCACTTTCTTTTCCCTCTGTGATTGTGGCTGTGGTGGCTCGTGCATCAATTGTTGAAAGCCATTCGGCCAATGAGCTTTGCCGAACCCAGCATCAACATTCTTCCCATCTTTCTTCTGGCATAACATCGAGCAAACATCTTCCAAACAGCATTTAGCCCCTCGTACTTTTGCCTTCATCCGTCTAAAAAAGAATCTGACATTTACATGCGCTCCAACTGTGCGTATATTTTGGCCACAAGGAACAGCTTTATTACATCTGTCAGGCCCCACCTAATAGCTATCTCGCAAGAGTGACACAATGCATGAACTGTTTCTCACTACGACCATCAAGGATGTCGACCTAGAGAAAGCTTGTGCGGTCCTTCAGGGATTGACCTGGATGTCAGCACGTCACAACGTCTATCGCGTCATATACTACGCTGGTCAGCCGAAGCCGAAAGGCCTGCCCAATGTGAAATCATTGCCGCCCTCCCGCCACACAGCCACGTGGAATGAGCTACATAGGGAGTTCAGTCGCTTATCCTACGTGTTCCAATTGGTATATGAGGTGTTCGTCGATAAAGACTTCGGCACGGGAGGTGCTGCTGATCTCAACAGCATGGGAGGCACCCTTCGCTGGACAGGATTCCCAGACCCCCCACGAGAAAAGGGACAGTTAACGACGCATCGCAAAAAGATCGAGATACCGGAACAAAAGCAGCTGCTCGCTATCATGGCAAGCAATGGACAAGCGTGAGCATTGATCAAACTTACAATAACCCTTGATTCAAGCTAAATACATATGTAGGCAAAAGACGGAGCTGATCCAGGAGACCTATACCTTCATTAGGGATAATGTCGAGTTCACCTTTAGCAGGAACTATCATTTAATGCCTTCCTCGGATCAATCTGGCCCTTCAGCAAGCCTGCCGGCATGGTCAGATCTAAGTCCCATAGACCCAGCGAAGAAGTGGGTATTGACCGTGAAGAGAGATGTTGTCGAGGACAACCAGCCTGAGAAGATGAAGCAGGCACAGAAAGACCTGTCAGATGTAAGGGCTGAATTAGAACCGTTGATCAGCTTCGTGCCCGTTGACAGGCGTGTTCTCGATACGCGAATTACACCACCACCTATGATGCCTGGTCAACACCCTTGAGCCCTCAATCTATGTACCCAACTTCAATGGCAGCGAATGACACACTTCATATCTGACACGACATTTCTACGAGGATATATCGAATATGGTTCGCGACAGCCGGCACAAACGAGCATGGAGGGCAAGGCAATTTTGAAGCCCGTGACCATACGCCACAACGGAAGGCACGATAACGATGAAACGCGTATTGTCAGCTAGAATGTATTGAGCACCTAGATCTTGGTATCAATACCAGCCCCCGTCTTTCATGGGTCTGTATACTTTGATTAGCACTTGACGTACTTGAGTTTGTGCGAGGTGGGCCAACAACTAGTACAACGCACGCGAAAGCGCGGGCTCAGTACATGCGAGATGCACAGAGCCTGGTTTTCCTCGAAAATAAAGTCATGGAGACTTGAGATATTCGGTAGCACGCTACATGATCATCTTCTCTGAATAACATGAGGTTGCCCTGATCATTGGGCTGTGTTCGGACTATGTTGATGCCCATTTCTTAAATTTTTTGTCATCTCCACTATCAAGGCCATCCTTAATCACAATGACTGGCTGGTGGGACGGGCTCTCAGGGTCCAACTGAAAAGCTGTGCCGTGGAAGCGCATGCCGTTGCCAGAAACCAAAATGGCTAGATTCGTGCAAAGTACAATGCCTATGGAGATGTGCTGATTGACAACCAAGGCAAATTAGCTCGTACACAGCCCAATGATAAATTGACTCTCGGTTATATAGTTCATCTGGGCTATCCTCTTCCCCCACATGCCGTTATTCTATGCTGGGCAAAATCTTGAATACAGGATTATTTCCTCCCAGTCTAGCTTGGTGCAAGAATGGCAGATCAACACACCAAACTTGAGAGCTGTCAGAAAAGAAGACTTGACGAACCAGTACCCATGCTCATTTATGCTGGGATATCCCTATCCATAATGAAGCCGTGGGGACTTGGTGATGTATGATGTGCTGTTCCTTTGAGCGGAGTTTTCCTGTGGGAATGCTTTGTACTTCAATCCTCCTGCTCCCGAAGATCACTGCAGCAATGGAGTTGTGCTGCAGCTGAGCTGCAACTGCCACGAACAGACAACCAGGGCGGCCGTTGGGAGTGTACTGTCGTCCTTACTATGGGACAGAGCTTCACGCAAGGGCAGACGTTATGTTTGGGCGACGTGGCTACGGCTTAACCACACACCGGTGTGCTTCCGTTTAATGCTAGTCACTGGCCCACCATTGAGAGATGTTGTTAAAAGCATGGGTTAGTTGGCCGATGAATCCTTCCACGCAACTGGAAATAGACTAGAATCGCCTGCCGTTAGATCAAGAATCCTTCGAGCCTTGGCGTCGACGGTATGGGTCCACGGGAACATTTGAGCGAGCATCGAAACAACGGGCGTCACTAGAATTCAAGTTCTGAGTAAGCACTTGAGAACCGGAAGTCATATATTGCGATTGTAAACAGTCAGTGGCCTATATGTGAGTGGAGACCCTTTTCACGAACGACAACTGACTGCCAGTCCGAACATAGCGCAAGGATGCGGTATACTTCTTCGCAACAATACTTAGCATCAATGGAACTTCATCGGCTTGTCTGTCCGACACCCTTGTCACTTCGGAAATTTTACAAAATTGGAACTTTTGAACATCGTCTTGGACAATCGTGGCGGCTAACTGCTCACGAACATCCGATGTTCAATCACAGATTGCCCTTGAACGTCGGATAGAGACTTGCGCATTGGCAAGCCGTTTCTTTTCCCCTTATGGTAAATATCTAGCGCCAAGCGGACTTTTTTGGTCTTCTACCGAAGCCTGACAGCCCTGTAGGGCAGTCGTCGGTCCCGAAGACATACAGAACATTCCATTTGACTCGAAGGATGCTGTCATGGTCCACTGCGGAAAGGGGAGGATGGCCCAGTTATCGTGGCCTACTGTAGGTGGGAGTGGCGCAGGCTGCAGGTTGCATACTATCGCAACCTGTTTCCAAATTTTGGCGTAATGCCAAAATCTCGTGCGGCTAGTCTGTCGCATTCACTACAGTTCTGGTGGCTCTGGGACATATGTAGTTGTCCCGAGTCCCGAGTACATAGCAGTAGGACGAGTAGGATCATACGGACGTGGCCTCCTTGACATCCGGTTAAGCATGTGCTGTATAGCGTATTTTGCTATTTGCCTTAAATCCATAGCCTGCATGTCATAAGAAGACTAATTATAGAGTTGCATAGCACTCGGAATGCGACACAACTACGTTGGCGACCTGGTGGGTAGCTTTCACGGCTACCCCATTTAGAAATGATCACTAGAAGGATTCTCTAGTTTTGCCCGAGGCTATATAATTACTACAATTTAACGATCAGCTAGCTGTATTCCATATTTCTTTTTGCAGGAGGATTTCTATCGCAACGTCTTGCCTCTGTTTCTGGTCTTTAATTAGAAACGCCATTATGCATATCGGCTCGCGACTTGCCAGGATGCTGTTTGTGTTATGTGCTTTTTTGAAAGAAGAAAAAAACATAGTCATGATACAGGATCTGAGATGCTCAGATTTTCGGAGTAAATATGGCCAGGAGTACATAGCCACCTAGACTGGCCATTTAGTGGACAACTCATTGCTTTCGAGGACCACTTGCTGAAGGAATCAGACATGGGACCATCAGTCATTTGTGTTTAGACAAAGTATTAATCTTATTGTATTTTAAGCAGCTATCTAGTCTATTGATGTGGAGTGAACAATTAGGAAAGACCTACTTTGATTGATTTTAGGCGATCAGAAGAAGAGAGGGATCCAAGATCGTTTCAGGGCCACGACTACACACGCAGGCTTGACGATTGCCTCTAACTTGAAACCAACCTTAATATCGCGATGATATACGATCTGAAAGGTGTCGAGTTAATTTTGTGCAATACGAGGAACTGAGGCTTCCAGTCGTACACCCACCGGGGCGTCCCCTGTTCAAGGCGTATCACGGCCTACTGATGATGGGTGCAACAGGCTCAGTAGTTCTCTAACCGAGACAGACTTGATATAACACCCTATTGTGAAGCATATGCGAGCGTAATGGCTGTCTACAAGCGTACAACATACATGTACATATATGTGTACGCAGCTACCGCAAACCCGCATAGCTGCGCAATGAGCAGGTCATTCAACCTTCTCATGAGGGGACAATCGGATGGCGGGCGGCTACTGTAGTATAATTAACAAATATTTCAAGCCAGACCTAATACTAGGAATAGATTGTTCGGACAATATGTATACACTAAACCGTCGGAGTGCTTTTTTAGTTTTCGCTGTGAAATTCGCCACGAACCACGCCGTTCCTCAGCTATTTGAAAGAAAAAGAAAAAGAAGAAAAAACGCCCATGAATGCCTCGCCTCTTCTTGGAAAGAGAGTCTGAGTGTTTTCCATCCTTCCTTGACGGATTGCCAGCTTTGATTGTATGGCGAAGATGTAGTCAGGATCGTCAAAGGGACGTATGAAGCGCTGCTTCTTTACTTACGGTATATACGAGTGTTCTCTGAAGCTGCAGCTGAGGAATGACTTTAAAATTCAACCGCCCATATACGTTTTGGAGCATGCGTTATCCTCTCATTGAAAATTGGCGGTCTGATGATGGACAGACAACAGAAGACCACGCTGCAGGTGTTTGTACATTGACCTCCCAGGCCACCGCATTGACCAAAGGTTCTTGTCACAGAAATGAAGCGAGAAGCACACTGGCTGTTCTGACTCTAAATTTTCTGCGACCATCCCGATAGAGCAGGGTATTGCTTACTCTCAACCGCATGGTGCCAAGACTATACTCCCTAGGCTCACTAGTCACATGGCGACTATGCATTGTGCAAGTCCAGATCTGTTCCTACTAGTTTAGTCTCTTTCTCCATGTACAATAGCGCCTTGTTATCACGCCGCAACTTCGTATCACTGTCGTTTGCTGTTACGAGCTGCCCACTCATATCACTTGGGCTTCCTTGAAAGGCTCAAGCCTCGTGTCTATACATCCATATCAGTCTTAGCCGCAGCACCTCGTGATCCTAGGTTGGTCGAGGGTCTTCGACAGGAGCCTAGACGAGCATGCAGGGGTGCAGGCTCTCGTGGTTGTGTCGCTGACAGCAGCCCCATCGACTTCTCGGCCGGCAACTTCTGGTCCCATCCCAACTTGTCAGGCGTTGCGTTCTGCCATTTCCACCTGCACAGATCGACATGGGTCAGCTCTCTAGCGCCTTCATATCAATTAGAACCTCCGTGGAGCTGCACCTTTGGAGGTGAGCTTGCCCAACTCGGTACATTTTGTCCCAGGCGAATTTGTCGCACTACTGTAATGCGGACGGGGTTTGCAACATGTGAAAATGAATGCATAGGGACGGGGCAGCAGCGGACAGGGTCCTTTGTTACAAGCGAGGGAGCTATCATCGGCCCAGTCTCCGAATCCAGTTAGAAATATCATATTCGGGGGCCCGCCACAGCCCTGTCCTGCACGCTCGGATGGGGCCGACCAGGGCGTGCCGTGGCCTGTAGCAGTATGTTCCGTAAGCTCAGGCATTGCAGCGTGGGCATTCTATCGAAAGCCGGGACAATGGTTCATCGGCGTGCTGTACTATCACATACATAGTAGTAGTAGCCGCGGCTACGAGGATGGTATGATTAACTGGACAAGTTCAGCTTTGAGACCTGTTGGGAAATATCCGA